ATAAATAAAATAAATATTTTAAAACTCTCCTCTGGCTGCGACAGTGTGGACAATGTCTTGGATGGGTCACTTTTGACCTGCTCTCTCCCTCATGCCCCCTTATTACCCAATTCCAAGTCCTGCTGATTGTACCCCCTAAATTAGCTTGACTCTATTTGATTCTCCCCATCTTCCCACTACCTCTACTGTCTCTTGCCTGGACCACTGCAGTGCCTGCTTCTGGGCCTTCCATGTCCCCTCCGCCCCTTTGCAGAGCCTCCGCCTTCCCCTCACAGCACAGCCCAGCCCGTCTCAAACTGCAACATACACACACCTGGGGATCTTGTTAAAATACAGACTCCAGTTCCCTAGGTCTCAGATGGGGCCCGAGACTCTGCATTTCTAGTCAGCTCCCAGTTAATGTTGACGCCTTTGGCTAACAGACCATACTTTCAGTAGCTGAAGGATTTTTCTTTTCCAACTAAAAGTCTGATGCTGATTTGCCTCTACTTGGAACCCTCCACTGACTTTCCAGAGACTTCAGGCAGAGACCAAACCCTCACGGCCCCCCATAGACCCTGCGTGATCTACTTCCTGCCTGACTCCAGTCCCTTGCCCTCCACTTTCTCCACCTTCTCTTTCTCCCTTATTTATTAGTTTGTGCATTTATCCTATAGTAAACCCACTCCGTGGAGTTGATTCCAACTCATAGTGACCCTAAAGGATAGAGCAGACTGCCTCATAGAGTTTCTAACACTGCAACCTTCAGAGAAGCAGACTGTTTTCCCACAGAGCAGCTGGTGGGTTCAAACAGCAGACCTTTTGCTTACCAGCCAAGTGTTTTAACCACTGCACTACCGAGGCTCCTTTTACTAAACATCGTGAAGCCCCACCCACCCACCCGAACACAGGAACATGACCAGTAACTTGAACGTACCTCTATATTTCTCCTCCCTTCCTCCCCACCCACCCCTGAGATCATCATTCTCATATTTGTGCTCAACTTTGCCTTCCTTAATTTTATTTTTCCTACTGATGCCTGGGTCTAAACATGCATATTATTTGGTTTTGCTTTTAGATATTCTAATAATTACACCACAGTGTTTGCAATTTTCTGAAAGTTAATTTGTACTCAGTCTTGTGTCTGAGATGTGTCTGTGTTGTGTGCAGCTGAGGTTCATTCCATCTCAGTGCTGTGTAATATTCCACAGTGTGAAAACCCACTGCCATCCTGTATACACTGACTCATAGCAACCCTACAGGACAGAGCAGAACTTCCCCACAGGGCTTCCAAGGCTGTAATCTTTATGGAAGCAGACTGCCACATCTTTCTCCCATGGAGTGGCTGCTGGGTTTGAACCACTGACCTATCAGTTAGCAGCTGAGTGCTTTAACCACTGGGCCACCAGGTCTCCTTACAGTGTGACTAGACCAGTTTATCTCCATCCGCCTAAGGATGAGGATTTAGGATTTTCCTTATTCTAGACTGGTGTGGCCTTTTTGGGTTTTTTTAAAGTTTACTGTGGTTTGGGTATACATTCGCCAGCAAACTGGTTTTTCATTCAACAATTTTGTCTCGTGACATGAGCTGCAATCCCATCACCAGCACTCTTCCCACTTCCTCCCTGGGTTCCTCATTTCCATTCACCCATCTTTCCTGCCCCTCCCTGCCTTCTGGACGTTGTTTCTGGGCAGATCCTGTCCTTTTGGTCTCCGATGGTTGATTGTTCTGAGGGCAAGTTCCTCATGGGTGAGATTGTTCACTTCATAGGCCTGTCTGTTGTTTGGCTGAAAGGGGATCTCGAGAGGTGGCTCAGCTATAGGTCTGAAGGGGTCTAAAGGTCACAGTCTCAGAGGTTCCACCGGTCTCTATCAGACCAGGAAGTCTGGTCTTTTTTATGATTTTGAATTTTGTTCTACATTTTTCTCTCACCATGTCCAGGACTTTTTATTGTGATCCTGATCAGAGCAGTTCTCTGAAATGCACTTCCAGAAATGTAAGCTGGATTCAGAAGAGGATATGGAACGGGGGACATCATTGCTGATGTCAGATGGATCTTAGCTCAAAGCAAAGAATACCATAAAGAGGTTTACTTGTGTTTTTATCGACTATGCAAAAGCATTTGATTGTGTGGATCATAACAAATTGTGGATAACATTGAGAAGAATGGGAATTCCAGAACACTTAATTGTACTCATGAGGAACCTGTACTTAAACCAGGAGGCTGTTGTTCGAACAGAACAAGGGGACGTTGCATGGTTTAAAATCAAGAAGGGAATGTGTCAGGGTTGTGTCCTTTCATCATACTTATTCAATCTACATGCTGAGCAAATAATCTGAGAAGCTGGACTATAAGAAGAAGAATGTGGCATCAGGATTGGAGGAAGAATCATTAACAACCTGTGATATGGTGACAACACAACTTTGCTTGTTGAAAGTGAGGATGACTTGAAGCATTTACTGATAAAAGATTGAAGAATACAGTCTGCAGTATGGCTTACATCTCAATATAAAGAAAACAAAAATCCTCACAACTGGACCAATAAACAGCATCACAATAAATGGAGAAAATATTAAAGTTGTCAAAGACTCCACATTGCTTGGTTCTACAATCAATGCCAATGGAAGCAGCAGTCAGAACACTAGACGATGTATAGCAGTGGGCAAACCGGCTACAAAGGACCTCTTTCAAGTGCTGAAGAGCAAAGATGTCTCCTTGAGGACTAAGGTGCGCCTGACACAAGCCATGGTATTTTCAATCACCTCATATGGTTTTGAAAGCTGAATAATGTATAAGGAAGACTGAAGAAGAGTTGATGCTTTCGAGTTGTGGTGCTGGCAAAGAATGCTGAAAGTAGCACGGACTGCTAAAAGAACTAACAAATCTGTCCTGGAGGAAGTGCAGCCAGAATGCTCCTTGGAAGCGAGAATGGCCAGACTTCAACTCACATACTTTGGTCATGTTGTCAGAAGGAACCAGTCACTGGAGAAGGATGTCATGCTTGGTACGGTGGAGGGTCGATGAGTGAGGAGAAGGCCCTCAATGAGATGGAGTGGCACAGTGGCAGCAATGATGGTCTCAAGTACAGCAAGAATCGCGGAGATGGTGCAGGACCTGGCAGTGTTTCGTTCTGCTGTGCATAGGGTCACTATGAGTCAGAGATGACTCGACGGCCCACAACAACAGCAACAACAATGATCAGAATAGTAGGTAGTGTAGCCAGGCATCATCTGGTTCTTCTGGTCTCTGGGAAATGGATGCTGTGGTCTGTGCGGTCCGTTAGTCCTTTGGACTAATTGTTTGAATCCTTGATTGTCTTCACTCTTCTTTGCTCCAAATGGGAAGATCAATTGTTGTATCTTAGATGGCCGCTTACAAGCTTTTAAGACCTCAGTCTCTACTTACCAAAGTAGGATGTAGGATATTGTCTTTATGGACAATGTTATGCCGATCGACCTAGATGTCCCTGAGACTATGGTCCCAAGTCATCAAGCCCAGTGCTCAGTCCCTTAAGGTGTTTGATTATGACTGAGAAATTTGCTAGTCCCTTACAGTGTTTGGTTAAGGCTGAGAAATTTGCATAAAAGGTTGGGCAATCCTACTTCCGTACTGATACTGCCTCGGAAACCCAAGGAGGGGTCGCTATGAGTCGGGGCCGACTCGACGGCACATAACAACAACAACAACATGTCACTTTAGTTTTGTGTATTCAAAAAAAAAAAAAAAACAACTCACTGCCATCAAGTGGAATCTGACTCATAGTGACTCCTCCTTGGGTTTCTGAGGCAGTATCTCTATGGATGTAGATTGCTCAATCTTCCTTCTGAGGAGTGGCTGGTGGGTTTGAACTGCCAGCCTTCTGGTTAGCGGTCAAATGTATTCTTAAAAAAATTTGCATAATGTTGCCCCCTGTAAGCTCTACTATATACCTGGATATATTTGTAGCACATAAAAAGAAATTCATGTGTAGAAATGTCCTCTGCCAAACCTGTATATGCTTGCGGTTGTACTCCCATGTGTCATCCCACACCTGTTCGGCTTACACACCCACTCAAGGTGTGCACATTCTTGTACATGTCTCTGGCTGCACCTGTGCAGGCTTCTCAAGGGCCCCTCCTGGGCTCCAGGCTCTCTGGCCTCCTTTCATTCCCCATCTCTGTGGGGTCTTTCACTTAAGATGTCCTCTCCACCAGGGCTACCTTCTTCACACCACCCCCTCCCACGCCAACCCTCTTCACCCGGCGAACTCCTTCAGGTTCTCAGAGAACCCTTCCCGGACCGGCAGGCTGAGGCTGGTCATCCATTGCTGGTGGTGGTGCTGGGTACCATCTGGATTCCTCCTCATAGAGACCCTATAGGGCAGAGCAGAACTGCCCCATTGGGTCTCCCAGGCTGTAAACCTTATGGGAGCAGCTCGCCAAGTGTGTTCTCTCGCGGAGCAGCTAGGAGTCAAACTGTCCACCCTTCGGCTAGCAGCCCACCACACTGCGCCACCAGGGCTTCTCCGTCCCCCACTTAGGCCCCCAATTTTACATGAATGCCGTGTGATTATCTGACGAACGTCTGACCGGCCCGCTACAATGCAACGTCCAGGGGGTTTACGACGCTCCCCGTCCCCCAGCTCCTGGCTCAGCGCTGGCACTCGGTAGCCACCCAGGGCGCACTGACGCGTGGATGTGGCTCGAGGCCCGGGAAGAGGTAGAGCCCTGCCCGAGGCCACAGGTGGAGCCCAGCCCGACGTCGCAGCGCCGGAGTTTTCGGGCGCGCATCGGAGCCGGAGGCCCTCGGATCGGTCCCGGTGGCCCTGCAGGACTTCCAGGAAATGAGCTGCGGGCCCGGCGGGGCGGGGCCCCGGCAAGGGGCGGGGCAGGGGCCGGCCCAGGAGCGGCGGCGGGCGGGGCGGAGGCGGGCCCGGACCGGTTAAGAGGAGCGTGTGGCGGGCCGCTGCCACTGCCGGCCCTCGGAGAAACGGACCTGCTACCACCCCAGCGGTAGACCCACAGACCTTTGCAGAAGGAACCGCGCCAGGGCGCACTTTTGGCACCATGACCCAGAAGCCCGCCTTCAACAAGCCCAAAGTGAGCGCTGGGGAACTCGGGGGCCCGGGAACCCCGGGGCTCTAGCAATTTATTGGGCGGGGGGACTTGGGGCTCCCGCTCGGACCATAGCCCGGGAGCCAATGGGGGCTCCTGCAGGCGCTTCTTACCCTGGCTGAGGCCCTCGCCCTTCTGCAGGCTGGTTACTGAGGGACAATGAGGCACAGACGGTCCGGAGCCTGGAGGCGCCCCAAGCTGGCCTCCAGTTCTGGTTCTGCCCCTGACTTGGCCCTCTGGGTCTGTTTCACCATCTGTCAAATGGGCATGCTAGCATCGCAGGCACGGAACAGCTGAGCCTGAGCTGAGGACTCGCTCTCTCTGAACCTCAGCTGTAAAATGGGGCCCCGACGTCTGCGCCCGTTACGTAGTGGAAGGAACTTTTTATTCCAACATATAGTCTGTGAGCACCGGGGACCCCAAGTTTGTGGATGCTCGGGTGGGAAGAACAGTGAGGAACCCAAGCAGGGCGTCCCCCTCTCTGGGCTGCGCGGGCCCTTGGCCCTGGAAGCGTCATTCCGGGCTACGCTAAGGCCGCTAACCCCAGGAGAGAACCCCTGGTCCTCATCCCACCAGCTGTGGTGTCTTGGGAAACTGTGGGGTCAGGGAGGGTCCAGGTCCGCTTGGCTGGCTTCGGAGCAGCCTGGGGATTCGCAGTCAGAGGAGGGGAGGGGCGCAGGAGTCCGCCAAGCAGTCAACCAAGAGTCTGAAACTGAGGAGAGTGGAGGAGTGGGCTGCCATGGGCTTCACCTTTCCCTTCTGAAAGACAGTGTGTGAGTGATGACGTCCAACATCACAAAAGTGTGTGTGTGCATGTGTGTGTGTGCATGTGTGTGTGTGTGTGTGTGTGCAAAATGCTCCCAGGAGGATCAGGCCTGTCCCCCACTGCTGATGCCCTTCCACCACAGACCAGATCTCAGCTACTCCCTGAAAGATGCTACCAATTGCTCTGGGGCGAGCTCTGCTGTCCCCCCGTGCCTCCTTGTCTTATGCTTGGTGTTTTCCTTTGAACCTTTATTATTATTATTAATGTTCCTGGATTCCTCTGCCATGGGCCGAGGAACCACCTGCCCCAGTGTGAATCCTAAGACCAAGGCTAAGCTGCATGATTAGGAATGGAATAAGAGTTGTGGAGATAAATAATAGCTAACACCCCTATTTTGAAAAAAAAAAATCAAATCAGTTGCCTTCTAGTCGATTCCACTTGTGGCGACCTCATGTGTCGCAGAGTAGAACTGGCCCATGGGGCTCATCAGCCCTTTCTTCCTACGCACCTCTGGGTGGATTCAACTTTTCGCTTAGTTGTCGAGTGCTTGACTGTGTGCCCCACCCAGGGACACCAGCACCCTGACAGAACTTGCTGTGTGTTCCAATCTGATCCCTGCACACTTCTACAGCAACCTTATGCAGGGAGGGGAGAGCTAACATTATATCCTTATTGTCCAATGCGCTCATCTAATTCAAGCCTCCGGGTCATGTCTGCTCTCTGTGCTTCAGTTTCCACACCTGTGGAGTGGTGCCTAGCCTCCTCAGGCAGGCGGTGCTTGAGAATGGAAGGCCAGGGTCAACTGCCATGGACGCAGAGTGTGATTGATTTTGTATTGTTCTCAGCAGGGAATTTGCCTGAGCTGGCAAGGCAATCAGGAAGAAGTATGAGTCTCAGAGCTACTTTGACCAGAGATTACCCCCCCTCTTCCCATGGGTGGGGTGGATAACAATTAATAATATTAATAGCTCAAGCTTATTGAGTGTTGATTGCTCTGTGCCAGGCACTGTTCTAAACATATTGCCTGTATTTATTTGATGCTGGCAACAACCTTAATGAGGTAAGTGGCATTATCTCCATTTTACAGGTGAAGAAACTGAGGCACAGAGAGGTTGAGTAGGCCTGAGGTCACATAGCTAGGAAGTAGCCAAGCTGGGATTTGAAACTAGGGGAGCCGGCTTCAGCGTTCCTTGCCCCTAACCAGCTTTCTTGAACTACCTCTACAAAAGCCCCAGGCTCCTGGTGCCCCAGGTCTTTTGCTGGGTTCTTTGGCCTCCCATACCTACCACCAGGTGAGGTCCAGGACCTGACCAGCTTTAAGAAGGCAGAGCAGGCCACTGTTTCTCAGACTTCAGTGTGCACTGCAATCACCCGACTTCTGATAAACTTCAGACTCTGCTTTGGAAGGTATGAGTGGGCTCTGAGATGCTGCACTTCTAACAAGCTCCCAGGTGATGCTGGCCCATGGACCATACTTTGAGTAGCAAGGTCCTAGGTCCAGGTAGGCTACCTACCTGGTTTGATTGTGTCTTTCCAACAAATGCTTCCTGTACACCTGTTGGGCATTAGGGGGAAGGGGGAAGGGGAAAGTGGAGGGTGGTACTTTCCAGTTTATTCCAGGAGAAGCAGGCTGGAAAATTGCATGGCACTCCAAAGGACAAAACTGATCACAGCCCTGTTGTAATAATAGCAACAATGGCTGCCATTTGCGTGGTTTTGGTTCCCATGGGCTTTAGCTGATTCATCTCACAGAATCCTCTAGACAACTCAACCAGGCAGGTATCTTCATCCCTACTTACAGATGAAGAAACTGAGGCCTATGGAGGTCAAATAACTTGCTGAAGGCCACATAAAATCTGAGTGCCTGGAAGCTGTAGACTGGAGAGTGGACTGTTCCAGGTGGAACAGCAAGCCTCCAAACTGTCCCCTCTGATGCAGAAGGGAGTTGGAGCTAAGTCACCAATGTCCTGCTCTTACTCACCTTCGAGTGTTAGCCTCCAAACTGTCCCCTCTGATGCAGAAGGGAGTTGGAGCTAAGTCACCAATGTCCTGCTCTTACTCACCTTCGAGTGTTTACTCTGTACCAGGCAGGCACTGTTCTAACTGCTTGGCATATAGTCACTCATGTAATGCTCACAACAGCCCTCTGCGGTAGGACCTATTATTATCTCCATTTACACATGAGGAAACAGGCTCAGAGAGGGGAAGGAACTTGCCCAAAGTCACACAGCCGGAAAGTGGCAGAGCTCGACTTGAACCCAGACTTGGCTAAAGTCAAAGCAGATTCTGTTCACTCCTTTACTGAACTGCCACTTCTACTCTGTACAGGAAAAAAAAAAAGGAGATGAGTGGGAGGAGTCAGAGTTAGGGAGAGCACATGGAGGCCAGGGCGGCCTTGGGCTTTAGACAGACTGGGGTTGAATCCCTGCCTTGCTATTTAATGAGAGCTCAGGTGGAGCTTTCCTCCCTGGACCCCAACTTTGCTCCTCTGTAAAATGGCATGATACAACCAGTGATGAAGCCAAAGTCATAGGGAACATCCATGTGCTGACTGACACACCTGGCCAGCCCACAGCAGGCCCCGCATGTTCACTCCCTTGCTGAGGGTGGATTCTGGGCAGTGTTCCCTCCTGTAACTGTCTTCCTGCCACAAAACCTACCATGAGCATTTCTTTGGGCTTTCAGTGTTTTTCAGTACCAGAGCCACCTGTTCAACAAAAAATGCCCCTGGGAAGGGCTGCCTTAACCCATTATGACTCACGTGACAGCTGGGGAGGCCTGTGGGGCTCTCCATGGTTGAGAAGGGGGAGGGGAATGAACGAGGTTTCATCTAAGCCTATCACCTAACAGAGGAAGACATGGGACCAGAGAGGGGAAGTACAGTGTCTGGTCACACAGTGAGACAGGAGGAGGCCAGGCCTGCTACACTGCATCCCATCTCTGGGTGCACTGGGCATGAGTGGTAAGGGGCCCAGTGAGCTGGCAGAGACTTATCAACCTGCCTCATTGTCCTGAGGGGGATTCCTGGGGTGGAGAAAAGACCTTAGCTTGACTTTGGAATCTACTGGGAAAGTAGAGCGTGAATCTATGTTTACCAAAGGTGTTAGGGACAGCTGTGCCTTCACTCCTGAGGGGCTCTGAGAGCGCAGACCTACGGGCATAGGAAGAAGGCCAAGTAACCTCAGTGGCCTTGTTGACTGGGGCGGCAGCATGGCTGAGGAGTTTAAACGTGGGTGTTAGCTGAGGCCAGAGTCGATTTCCCCAGTACCAGTTTGACTGAGTTCTCTCTCCCTGCCTCAGTCTCCTCATCTGTATGGTAGGACTCATACTCCGACTGACCTCACATAAAGCACCAAGTGCAGGCCGGGTAAGAGCAGGTGTGACAGTGACAGATGGCTCCTACTGAGCACTGCCGTCACTCTGCTCAGACTTGCCAGGGCGCGGGGAGTGTAGTGTGCTGGTGAAGACCTCCAGCTTTCAGAGCCAGACGGCTTCCTGGCCGTGACACTCATTACTCTGTGACCTCGGGCATGTCTCTTAATCTCTCTTAGCCTCAGTCTTCTAACCTATCAAGTGAGGATGATCATTGCACCAAGTTCCTGGGTTATGCCACAGGATTTCCCTCTGGATAAGGCACACTTAAGGCACTCTGGTGGCATAGTGCCTAAGGCACTTGACTGCTAACCAGAAGGCTGGCGGTTCAAACTCACCAACCACTCCTCGGAAGGAAGGTTGGGCAATCAATTTCTGTAGAGATACTGCCTTGGAAACCCAAGGAGGGGCCACTAGGAGTCGGGTCCGACTCGACGGCAGTGAGTTTGTTTTGGAAGGCACACTTAAGGAGCTCTGGTGGTGTAGTGCCTAAGGCAACTGACTGCTAACCAGAAGGTTAGCAGTTCAAACCCACCAGCCACTCCGCAGAAGGAAAACTGGGCAATCTATTTCAGTAAAGATTTACTACCCCAGAAACCCAATGGGGGTCGCTATCAGTCAGAATCGATCCAATGACAGTGGGTTTTGTTTTTGTTTTGTTTTGTTTTTGATTTAAAGCACACTTTATCTTACTGCAAAACTTCTGAGGACGCTCACAGTCAGCCAAGTCCTGAGTCAGTCCAGGAGACACTGAGGGGATGCCCAGCCCCTCCACTCTGCCCCTCAGAACTGCAGGAGACCAGACAGAAAGAACTGCAGGAGAACAGATGGGGCTGAGCACAGAGGG